GTGTGGGGGGAAAAATGAACGTTGTTGGCGTTTTTATTTACAGAAATTAGCTCTCTGACGGCGACGGTCGTCCCGAGGGGAGAATTCAAAAACCACACTGGTTTCGACTTGAAACGCTTCAGTATTTTCTCACCCCGACTGTTTGTGCACCAGCAGGTAATTCTAGTGCAACCCTACCGTGTAATTCGCAGTTCTCTCTCTCTCTCTCTCTCTTGCTCCGTTTCCGACAAAACACTCATTCTTAACCGCCACTATCTGTACAAAAAAAATCAAAACGCCATCACCTCTTTGCGGAGTACTTAGACATTCTATTAAAAAAAAAAAAAAAAAATTTAAATGACTAGCACTTTTTTGATGTCCGATTAAAATTGATGATGGTAGTTCATACTCAATAAAACTCAGATAAACGCACTGTCTGTGGTCTATCGCTTTGAAATGTGATCAGACAGCGACCGCACGCCCACGGTGTTCTTTATAGACGAGCTACCACGAAGTCGGCTAATCATTTTATCGGTTTTTCATCTGACAAGGTGGAAAACATAATGCGTGTTTTGTATTAACAAATTAACTGGCCGAACATGGTGTACTAATTTGTTTTGAAAATTAGTCCCGTGGTTTAGTATAAAGTGGTTACGGCAAATCGCCACGGTCACGGGAGAAACCAATAAGGCGCAGAGAGGGAATTACTTGCTAGGCGTAGGTACTTCTGTATTTAATCAGCACGCTAAAGAACATAAAACAATTGTTTTTAATTAAAACTGTTATTTTTTTATTATATGAATTTACTTAAATGAGCTTAATAAATTAAAAATTACAAAATTTCGACATTAACACGTTAATGAATTTACCTAACATAAATAAACTTAAGCCTAATTAATTAAATGTATTTATTGCCTACTCATTGTTTATTAGAGAATAGAACCAATAGCCAGGCAAATAAGGGATAATGAATCAAAATGGTTTGGACGTGCTGAAAAAAAGGAATGACATTAAGTAGTAAAAATAGTAAGAGAGATTGGCGTAGAAGGATTTAAATAGAGGTACGCCGAAGAAGGAGTAGATGTATGTTATAGTTTAAGACATGGAGATCGGTAGGTGAGGACTGAGAGAGGATTTAGCTAGCTGACTCCATTCGCATGGGATAAAAAAAAAGAAGATAACTTCGTTTTCAGTTACGTTTCATAACTAAATCTTAAAATTACTTTTTTAAGTTTTAGATTAAAAAAAGTAACTGATGATTTATTAAAAAAAAAAAATCATCAGATATTTCAAACAAAATTAATAGGGAGCTAAATTACCTTTTTTTAAATTTAATTGAATTAAATCGGTAAATTATAATATAAACTTCCAACTAAACTAAGGTTAAATGATTTAATTAAAAAATTAATTAACTTTTTAATATAATATATAAAAATAATTTTAACTTAATTGTATTTGATTTAACTTACGAAATTAATATGAATTTTCCAAACATACCAAATGGTAGCCTACTGTGTAATCGCCGATCACCAAGAGCGCACATTAACTCTGTATATAAAGAGATTTTATTTTTAAAAAAAACATCTCTTAAAATTTAAACTTGATCCTAAATCTTGTACATCCATTTTTTAACAGTCAACAGAAAGTTTTTAGTACTAGTAAATACAAAATGAATATGTTCCAGGAGTTTAAATAGTATTGTGATTATCTTCAACGTATACAAATATATCTGTGCTTACTTAATTGATAATATTATTGTTTTTTATAATACGCAAATATTGTAGTTCTAGAGAATTGTAGAACATTATAGCCGGAGGAGTACTGGTAGGAAGTCCAGTGCCATGCAATTCTACTTATTAAGGAGTATTTTATAGGCAATTTTTTGGCAATGATTATGTGTACATTATTTATTTTTGGTGATGACGATTTTGTTTTGGGTAATTAATTATTTAATCGGACAATCATAGCTCCCTTGCTTACGCTTTTACACAAAATGCGTTTTACTCGGTCCATGATAGTTTGACAGCAAACTTATTATTAAAACAACCTAATGTTTTAGAGAAAATTACTTATTAAGCAATACTATACATCCATTAATGATCTTAGTAATTAATGTTGACAAAACAATAATTCATCGTCTCCAAAATTTTATTCTCTTTCATTATTGTTATAGGTGTTTTTAAACTTAGGCCATCATAGGAATTCATGAGTAAAGGGCGTCCTGCTTAGTGAGGTTCGTACACTGGAAAACTAGGGGAATAACGTCACCTTGATTCTCGTGTGAACATTGAGCCGTTTCGTTCTCTTTTCCCAGCGAAATCTTCATAGTTTACAAAACGTTTCTTTCCATGCCACCGCCGCCGCTCAGCCACTTCTCGGTCTGGTCTTGCCAGCCTGTCGATTGGTCTCCATTGCTTATGTGCTTGAAGCGGTTAACTACTGTCCATATATTATGGTTTTTGTTTTTTTTTTTTTGCGTAGTCTAAGTAAGTACCCGTGCGTTCGGTTTGGCATGACTTAACCGCGGTTTAAATACCTTACAGCCGCCTCGAGTAGCTGTCACGCTGCGTATCCATATGATTAGTGCTCACAACAGGTGGTCACCGACGGTGGCGGCGGCGGCCGGCGAAACCGTAAATCGATTTTGAAATTGCGGGGAAGACATTAACGGTATTCCAGGGGTATATACGTGACACAATTTGCCCGGCACGCACACACCACAAGCACACACACACACACACACACACACACACACACACACAAACACACACAAATACGATTGTCCGCCCGTTGTACGACGTGTCTCACTGTAATATAACGCGGTGTTTAATATTGAGATTTTTCTTTCCTCCGGTAAACTAGCAAGGTTTTTTTTTTTTCATTTTGGTTTGGAGCCAATAACGTCGACGACAACTACCGGTGTTTAACATTTCAAGTCACGCGCGCAATCCGTACTTGGGATTTATGTAACGTCATGTGCGCGAGAAGTAACACACACGGTGCGCAATAAGTATTTTTGAATTCGTTGCGTGCCATATTATATATATGTATGTATAAAAAAAAGTATCCGAACCGATACGACCGCGGCGCGAACACGGTCTGGTTAACAAATGCAATAATAATTAGCCCGCGCCTTATGTGTACGGACCGACGCGCTTTGGGAAAAAAAAAATATATATAAGACATGCAATACAATATATGAAGTACACGGCAACAGTGTTTCCGTGGGACGCGACGGCCGTCGGTTGAGAATGGCCGTAGAGAGATTGTGTGTGATCGCGCATAATAAAATATCTAATAACCAACTATAAGACGTCTTGTGTCCGCAATGTCAATTAACCAGTCGGGTCGACCGACCGGAATCGTCGTCGAAATGTCCATTTCCAGCCCCGTGAGAGACATGTACCCGTCTACAAGTGCACACGCCACAGCCGGTGCAGACTCAAACGGATAAAGTCGAGAAAACGCATCGAGAATTTCGACTAGAGTTAGTTGTCTGACCGATACGACGATTTCTTCACGCTACAGGCTGTAGTGCAACACACACATCCACGAGATATAGACTATGGTGGAATTCGCGCTCGGAAATCCTTAGTTTTAATAACGAGAAACTGCCGATGAAGGAGGGGAGATTTTCTCTCGTTCGTTGGGGATTCGTACAATAAACTATGTTAAAAATATACAATTTTTTAATTTTCCACCGAAAAAATAAATTATGTCGGTAATAATTATGTATGTGAGTATCAATTATTATTAAAAAACTAAATATTGGGGTTAGGTTCAAAGAAAATAAAAAAAATCAAGAAGTGCCCAAATCTCCTGTTGTGGAACATTCACTGGATACTAATCATGGCATAAATTCCGTAAAATTATTTGAAAATGAAAATAATTCTAAAGAACTTAATGGTAGGGAGGCAGTACAAATGTATTTGTCATAGACCCACGGCTCTCGATTGTCCAAATAAAATCACCCTCGTGTTTGAACAAACATGTCTATCCCATTATAACCGATGAAAGAGAGACTGCGGAGACGCTGGACGCACATTATTTCTGTGTAATTGATGCTTACGACTTGTAATGTGACCTACTTGAACCGGGTTCGACGCAGATTTAAAGTTTAAAGAGGAAAAAACACATACGTTGAGCGTTGGCATTGTTATATATAAGGAGTATACATAAATACAACAGCGCGCGAATCTGGTTAATAGCAGCTTTAGGTTTTGACCGATAAAGCTCACAAAGTTTTATTAAACGTCGACCGAAAGAGAGGAAGAGATACTGTAACCGTTAGTGGAAGAGTCCACGATAATGCAATGAGATTATTATAGCTGCTGTTGTTTCAAAGATAATCGTGTTGCGTTCAGTGATTAATGACGATATCGAGATTGGGATCGGTCTGTTGCCGTTGTAAGTACACGCGCAGGCGGCCGTCGGTTAATGAATATCTTATATCGGCTGCAGTCCGGAATACTAATAATAATTATCGTTTTCGATAACACGCTGTTGTTATTATTAGTAGCAGTATTGGAGTTGTAGTAATAGGTTTTTGGGGGGCAACGAGATATTGAACGTCATCGAAAATATTCCGAGGAAATTAAAAATTATGTATGTGTGTGTGTGTGTTGTACTTACACAACAAAAACCAAATTAAAACGTGACCGTTTCACATGATCGGCTCGTTTCCCGAATTCCACTGTGGTTCGATGAAAATGAATGGGAAGGGAAAAAAAACAATTTAAATGTGTTAAGGTTGCACAATAAAAACGAGAACCATTGTTTGGATACGTTCTTCGTACGGTAATGGCCGAGAAACGATCATTGCCCGTGCCGCAGTGAAATGGTTTTCCGAATTCGGTTTAAAGCCATTCCCCTAGTGTGACATCGTGTTTAAAAAATTAATTTCTCGTTAGGACTAACCGTTCAGGGACGTATTGTAGACGCATTAAACATTTAAGAACGGTACACGCATACGTTGGTGAACAACCGGACCCACAGTTGAACTTTGTGTTGAATTGTTTCAGATGTTCCTGCGCTTGTACCCGACCAGACGAGGATTCTACAAGGCCACTGTTCAAATCTATGGATAGGGTGATCGTTATAAGTGGATCTCGTTAAAGTTTAAGAATACCTCTGTAAAAATATATAGGTAAGTAATTGTTTTAAATTTGAATAAAGTTTACGCCGCGATATGCGTCTCGTTTGCATGTTAAATTCGATTAGGGCTAATGCGTTTACTCTCGGTTTAGTAATTTGCAATCGAGGAAATAATGTTAAACGCCGCATTATACTTTCGCCGTAGACGGACAACAATATCCGGAGTCCTAACGACGACGTTTACTGATAATCCACTGTGTTTAAATCTCAACACGTCCAATATGGCCGCATAAATTACACTGCTTGCGTAGGTAACACTTGTGGATAAACTAAAAAGCGGGAAGCGGATGCGCGTCTGACTAAAATCCTCTCTGGCCTTCTTCATTGTTCATAATTTTAAAAATCAAATAATTATATGAGAGCGAATTGTAAAATTGGATTTCTCTTTTAACATTTATGATTAAATAATTAGGTTTAACTATGGAAAAACTTGTTTTTGAACAAATGTAACTCGGACCCTTTTGGTTCTCAACACCTACAATGATAATAATATGTTGCCACTAAAACTGACGATTATAATAGGTAATAAATTATTTAGAGAGATTTAGGTTGTTAGATGTTTCTACTAAAGAAACAATTTTAATAATTTACCATTTCAGTTGGAATCTGTTGAAGATTTCTTCTCGATGGGTTATCAGATATTTTAAATGTTATATTTTCTGATTTATTGTCTATGTATTTACTTAGGGGGTTTGTAAATTTTGGCGTTCCTGAAAATGTAACCCTTCGTTAGTGCGTCTATAAACTCCAAGTTGTATTTCTAGTCAACACACCAACGAAGGGTTAAGTATAATGTTCCCGGTAATTTTTACATTACTTTGGATATAAAATGATGACATTAGATCCGTGTACCAAATAATTTGATATATATTTATATGATTTCATTAAAGTCTAAGCACATGAGACTTTTTTAATATTTGTAAACGTACTCATACAGAGTCTAATGCATTCTAAAACGCGGTATCACAAATGGTTATTTTATCTATGTTCACTTTGGTGAACCGCTAATTGCGGAGTTCGGGTTTTCTTTGAATCGCATCGTTAGTTAGCGTTACGGCTACCACCGGCACAAGTTTCTATTATAATGAGTTCCGCCGAACACAGAGGGTGTAGAACACTCTAGTTTTTCAAGAGTACACTCAATTTTATCAATTACGATTATAAGTCCGGTAATCCAATTATTACACGGCTCAAAAGAGAAAAAAGAAGTAGACGGAGGGGAAAAATGCAGAGTTTCCTTTTTGTCCCTCCTCCGCAAGCTAGTGCGTTATTCATTTTTGAACCTTTAGTTTTGAATTCGGCTAATTGGTTTGTTTTGAGCGAGCGGGGAGAGACGGCGGTTTCTTTGTTACCACACCCCCCCCCCCCCACACACACCCGCCCACACACCGTCCATCGGTATAAGTAGAACAAGATTCTTTGCCGTCCCTCTCCCTCGCTGTCTCTCTGTCTGTCTGTGTCCTTTCGGTATCGCTTTACTTTTATTATTCGCCACCACTCTACAAGATCAAACTACGGCTACACTATGTAAGGTTGTGTGCGCTGCAGAGCGACGGTGAACGACTAATTAACGTGCTGCAAGCTAAAAGTTGGCTCTTTAATGACTAGGTTTAATTCTCCTCAGCTTTTGAAGAATTTTTTAAAACCAATTAAACAAACCGTGCTCGACGGTTAGGAATGATGTTATTCAATTACAGCTTGGTCTTTCGGCAATAAGCAAAAAACAAATGGTCGTTTACGCGGAAGCGTTACGCTATTGCCTGCCATACTGTGCATACACAACTGAGAACGTTGTATGCCCGAATGTTATAGTAGCATCGCCCCTGTAATGCGTACACGTCTATCGCCTAACGAGTAATCCCTTTCCAATTAACCCGACGGAAAAAGACTGGCGAAGGAGATAAATTATGCTCTTGCTCGAGTTACAGTTAATTAATCCGTTCGGTTCTCTTGGGGATAACGGGCGTTTAAATACCAAAAACAAAAACGAAAAAGAACCTCCAAAGCGTCAGAAAATCTCTTAATCGTTTTACAGCGTCCACGCAATATTCGTGTAGATATTTTGATTAGCGGCAGTCTCATTTGGGGCAAAAGGGGGAACAGCTATACGGGAAGGGCCGGGGCTAAGACGGATCTAATTAAAAGCGAGACGCTCGCCCGTACACAAAGACTGTAGTCGGCTTGCCAATTATTTTTAACAATCCCATTAACGTTTTGGAAATAATTAAATTGCCAGTTGATTCAATACCAAAGGAAACGGCGACGCAACGGGAGGATTTAAATTTACATACTATTATTATTATAACTATTGTACGGGTGAATTCTTCGTTAAATTATCATCAAGCTGATTTAATACTATATTTTATACGCCTAAACAAAAAGTCAACACTGATATATATCAGTCGTAAAGTCATGAGTATTACAGTATGGAAAAATAAATGTAGATGGCAAGAACTTAGAAGTCATGGTTTCTTTCACAGTTTGAGTTCCCGTGTCCTCTACCTGAAACGTTAAGTCTTTTTTTCCAGTTACGTTTCTTCCCAATTTATCATTTTTTCATATTATCTAAAAATACTGTTTTCTAACCACCCTTAACTCCTTGTTTGGTTCACAATATAAATCATTCAATCCGCTTTTATTTGATAATATTACTATCAACACAATGCGAGTACAATACTACTATCATTGTATACTTCAATATCCGCTAATTGTTTATCTATGTTGCGGCATATTACATCTGTATATCTATATAGTCCTGTTCTCGTTTTTTAATCAATTAAACGTGGTCCAAATTATTACCATCGATTTTATAATATATTTTACAATCAATATTATTACCAAGAAACGATAGAATCGCCCAAATTTTCTGTAGGTGGTAACGATATTGATAAATACCGAGATAACCGTGGTGATGCGTCGCGTGAGTACTCTCAAAAGTTGTCGAGAATCGATGACAACCCTTTCTAGGACTAGTGTATGTGTGTGGAATGCTAATGGATTAAACCGAAATCACGCGCTATGTATGCGTTTCGGTTGTCCATAATAGATCCGTTTTATGGCGTTGCAATATTTTTTATCCAATAGTTTTGCTATTCTATTTAGATGGCACGGCGAGATTACTGTTTTATATGCGCCGCGGTCTTGCCGTCGATCGCAAAAACCAAATAAATGGGTCGTTACATAAAATACCTACACATTATATTATATTCTGTACCTATGTATTTGTATGCGTACGCATAGTCAGTTCTTATATAAATTTTACCGCTACGATTATTGTTTTTTCAATCGTTACCCACAAAGCTCCCTCGTGAATATCGAATAGCGAAGAAGTAATAATCTTATTTCTGTACACATGCATATATATTACATATATATATAATATAATCTATACATCTAGTAAACAATTTTTGCATATAAATAAAAAACAATCGGATCTGAGCGCACGGCAGTGCGCCAGGCCAAGTTTCAGCAATGCCAGTGTATCTTTACACGAACCAATTCATCCAGTTTTTCTAACCCACATATCTCTGTGTCCTCTTAAGATAAGCTTTAGAAATTTTTAAATGTAGATTAAGCTCGAGTAGCTTGGGATACTGTAAAAAGTTGAGCCCTTAATATTAAGCCTTCTCAAAAGAGGAGAACTTCAAAGTTTTCATTTTTGTTACTGATTCACTGACTCATCATCAAAATTATAAAACACTTCCCGTAAAGGTAGAAACGTGAAATTTGGCACATAGTAGGTCTTATTGTGTAACTAAAGAGATAAATCTGAAAGTTGCAATTTTCTCAAAATTAATGCCGCTTTAGGGAGTGAAGTTCTATATGCATGATGTGATGCGCATGAATATTGCTTGATTAGATTAGCACCGGTTTTTATTATTAAATCACGGATTACCGGGTTCTCTTTCAGTGTTACAATATGGCAATAAGCAATTGTTTGTAATTGACAGTAAATATTTATCAAACATAGTGTTTTCGTAATTTTATTGTATTTAATTTAATTTATCGGTTATCAAATACAGAATACAAATACAGTGTAGTGATATCATGTCTGCTATTTCTTTAGTTCATAACCTCACTGCACTCCTACTTTCACGCGCAACACTTTTATGTGTATTGCTTAACGCTTGGCCAGTTTCTGAATGAAGCATAAAACAGACTTATCCGCAATGTAGATATCACTACTTTGATAGGCTGACTTTTTTGGGTGTCTGGAACTTGGCCCTTTTTCACTGTTAGGTTTTTGTTGGAGTATATTTTTACCAGTAGGAAAAAAAAATGTTTTCACTTTTGACAGACAATACCTTTACCGCGTTATCGGTCTCGGGACAGTTTCGGGATTGCGTATACCTCGACGACGGCGTTTCCTAAAACCCTTAAAGAAAGGGTATGAGCGGGTAAGTAAAACACTGTGTGCGTAACACACACACATACACACCAATCGAATTCCCAATTTTCCGCGCGGTTTATCCCGGGGATGATAGTGGGCCGGTCCAGACGGAAAATTGGCCGTTACACCACATCCGGCCTCACTGTCTCTTACCCACCCCTCCATTCTTATAGGCCATCTACCCTTTAATCTACTTACCCCTTCCAATACATACAAAGGCGGGTGACGGAAAAATCCATGTTCACGTCTCGCGCCACCGTACAATGTAACTGTCGTGTCCTTTCGCAATCAAATCATAACAAAAAGATAGAGAGTTGTTTTTAAAATAGTATACATCAATCAGACATCTGTTTGAATTTTAGTGGCCTTGTGGGGTGTTCGAAAACAATCAATTAGCTAAAAACCATTTTCAGTTCTTCTAGCGTTTTATAGATCATTATAATAATTTTAATCCATCACACGCCAACTTGCCGACTGTGCTACAAAAGGGTGAACCTAGAAGCGTGTTAAAGACACACCACTTTTTAATGAGCAACTTCAATGATGCTGATAATGACGATAATAATAATAATACGCCAGTCGAGGTAATTAACCTCCGAGGT